ACTTCAAGTCCATTCAATGCAATTTTCTCACCCCAGCCCATCATACAATTACAGTCAGAAGTAGAAAAAAGGGACACTACATAAACTCAATCCCATCACTGACTCTACTGTAGTTGGGGTAGAGAGCACATTTCTATCAAGATATGCCAAAATGTCAGTCATATTAAGAAAACCCCTGGAACAGGGTTGGGGAAACTGCACTTCAGGTGCTATTGGTCTCCCAACTCCCATCACCCCCCCGCTCCGATCAGCCTCCACTATCATGTAGTCAGGCATGATGACAGTTGTAGTCTGCCATAATTTGGAGGGTCAGTTTTTCCATCCCACTCTAAAATTTATAGTGGCACTTCATTTTACAGGTCGGAGAACTTGACAGCTATAAATGCCACTAGAAAAGGAAGTAACAGTGAAAAAGCAAGGAAAGGAAGGACAAGGAAAGGTGCTCACACTGAGGCCAACCATCTAATAAAGATAGCAGGAAATCTAAAGTTTTCTTTTCCCCAAATTTAAATCCTGAGAATATGCTAAAATCAATTTTGTCAGATAAAGGTGAGAAATTACAACTAGACTTACACTGGCGTAACTTTGACCAATAACTATCCAAGTATCTTTTTTATCAAATTTCCTGGATGAGAGCCTTCAAGGACGCTGACACTGTCAAATCATGCTATCAAAAATGATCCAAATGTTAAATAAGATATCCTGGCAGCATGGTTTATGGAACTGCTCTAGCTATTTATTCATTTCTGGTGGTGAGCTCCCAGAGAATGAAGGACTACTGCAGTGCTTCACACGTGGGGCAACCTCTAGAAACAGTTCAGAAATGGCAGCGTGCTCAGAACAGGCCCACTAAATCATAAACTGAAATTGCAACATTTGACCATATTATACCTGTCCTTTTCCAGCTGCAGCTACATGGCATCTAGTCCATTTCTGGGCCCAACTGAAAGAGCTAGTGTTAATATCTGAAGCCCTAAATGGCTTGGAACCAGCTTACCTGAAAGACTGCCTTTTCCTATATTGAATTTCTTATACCGTAGTTTCTTTTCAGAGGCCCTGGTCTGAATGCTCATGCCAAATTTGGTGGGGGATCGGCTCAAATTTGTATTTCTCAAATGAGGTTCTATCATGGTACCGTCTTCAGGTCTTCCTGGCACCAGGTAAACTTTTTGTTTGTTTGTCCTAGTCTTTCAAATAACTTGCATAGTCTGGGCCAGAGAACCTTACTATGTGGTAGCCTACAAATGCTGTAAATGTGGGCCACGATGGGGCTCCCTCTTCCAAGACTTCCTTTCTGTTACACATATATGTGGAATGACTTAATGGGATCTATCAAAGAACTTGCTAACATAAGGACACAGAATCTAAACACAGTAATTTCCTCCTTATATCTCTGTACTCGTTCACTGTGGGAAAAACTTAACTCTAGTTAAACAGCAAGATGAACTGCTAACTTCCAGGTTCAGCTGATGCAGAATTCACATCACTGCTGGGTCTAAATTAAAATCAGCAGTATCAGTTAACATAGGCTGATAACATAGGCCTCATTGATGGGTTTGCTTGAAGTATTACATCAGAATCTTACCCATTATTGTCTGGGGATTATTCAGATACTAGCATTAAACATCGTTATTTTCTAAGTGTTACCATATTTAAGAGGCTTAAGGTAGCTGGTGTGAAACCAATTGGGACCCTTTGTAATTCACTGTTGTATCTTTGGTTGTTCTAAAAATGGTGTTATCCTTCAAACAGAGCAGGACAGAAATATGACTGCAGGCATCACACTTTCCTTTAGGTGGGATTAGAAAGCAAATGAAATATAAAGCACCAGAAATATAAGAGTGCAGCATCAATTACATTTAAAAGCAAAGCAAGTTCAAATACTATTCATATTGTACTGAATTTACACCAGTGTGCTACTTCACTTCTGCTAAACAGGATGTTGCCCAATAGAATTCTTAAGCAGTGGGGTGGTGGGAGTACTTTCCTCTATTAGGAAGTGAGATACCATGAGCCCGCCATGTCTCAGAGCACAACCAAGTGTGCTGGACCTTCCTCCAAGAGACAGAGATTTCTTTCCTTTCAACTGGAATAAAAGGACTGGAGACATCAAGCATTTATTAAGAATAATGGGAATAGGAGGCATTTAGTAGTTGAACACTATCCACAACCCACCCCCCACCATATTAGAATTTGCCATTACTTATTAAAGATCACTCATTATTTTTGATGGAACATTCTCTGTCAGTAAATAATCAGGTTTTCTTAAGAGGAAGGACAATGGCAGTAACTGCTAAAGTTGTGGTTAACAAAAGAAACCACATCATCATCAGTCTCACACTGTATAGGTAACAAACATCAGTTGAAAATATTAAGTACAAGTGTCATCTCATTACATTCTGACAGCCATTTTAGAAAAATATATGCATATTTTCTAAACTCTATAAGCATTTAGGGATGCTGTACAAATTTTTGAGAATTTGTTGATGGAGCTGGGAAAAGAAAGTCAGAGAATAGGAGCCCCCCCCCCCCCCCCAACAACAACAACGAAGGAAACCAAGTCTTGAAAATCTTAGCACAGAAAGGAAGAGAAGGAATAGTGCCTTCAGTTAGAGAACAGATCGAGGCTGAAGGCAGAATCTGACCTGGGCAAAAATAAGATGTTGTAAGTGGACCAATCCTTTTATTCTACGAAGCCCCATTTTAGTTCCATCCCAGTATTTCAACATTTTGCAATAATGGGAACTTTTGGGAACTTTTCTTAATTGATAACAATGGATACAAAAACTTAAAAGTGCTAAAAATATACATATGCCTGCTGTGCATGGAGTTTTATACACACACTTTTAACATAGTAGAAATCTAAAAGCAGTCAAAAATAAATAGCACCTTGCAATCACTCTTATTTTTGGCCACACTTCTTAAAACAAAGAAAGTATCTCAGATCAGCACAGCTATTAAAACCACGTATGACAAAATTTAAATGCTTAGCTGCATTAAGTTTAATTACTAGGCATGCAACTATATATCATTGGTGAAACTCAGAACATTTAAGCTATGCCTGTATCTTTCTTTGCTATTGCTGCTCCAGCATACAAAAAACAAGGAATTCAAAGTCAGATCTCATCTGAAAGGACATACAAAACCAGAGATCTTCACATTAGCTCTCTGCAAAGGCCAGTACTATCTTGCCAGTGGTGGTATAGATTGCATAGCATTTCCCTGATATCAGCCCTTGCCATAAATAAATGTCAGGTGCTAATATACGGGTGCTTACATGAGAGATGAAAGAAAAACACTGAAGAAATGGAAAGTATGTCCCATGAATGCAAGTAAATGCAAATAACAAAAATTTAAAATCCCACCTTTGGGGAAAAAAGAGACAAAAATCAAATCAAGCCTTTTTGCTGTTGCTCTGAAGACAACAGAGCAAAAGGCCAGATTCCTCAGTACCTGCACAGTAGTAAGTAAAATAGAAGAAACCAAGGCAAAGGATAGCAGCATGTTATGTCATACAGTATCATTCCGCAGAGCATTTGCTGAAGAATTTCAAGTATCTCGAGGGAACTCAAGACAACCATATTTATAGGTTCTATTGAAGGGAAACAAAATCGTTTAGAATGTACCCAACTCCTAACATTGCATAGGCATAGAAAAAGTACAGCTGGAAGATTTAAATGAATCATATTCAACTTCACTTCTCTAGAAAGAAAGGCCTAATCCTAAAATGTCAAATATCACTTCTCAAAACCTCTCAATTCAGAATATTCTAGTGTGATGGAAAAGACAGCATTTCTAATGAGACTCAGTTTTCGGTTTTCTCCTGCTTTCATATTCACATCAAAAGTTTGACTATTTCTATGGTGAAGAACTGTTAAGATTATTTCAGCTAAAGTTTGCAAGCACTCCAAACTGATTTGGACTATGCATCATCAAATGGAAAAAGGAAGACACGTTAATACAGCATAAATTCAACTTTTAAACTCACGTTTCAAATAATCCTGGGATGATTATAGTAAGATACTTTGCAGCTTGACTCACTCTAGACTGTTCACAGAGCCATTAGTGCTATTTTGAAAAGAATTTGATACAATGGAACTCAGGCCTATGACATGCAGGAAAAATGTATGCCGGAAATACAAGTTTTACAATTTAAGGTATGAAATGAATACCAATGCCACAATACTATGACAGATAACCTCCCCCAATTTCACAAAAGCAGGAAGTTTGTTTTCTTGAACAAAATGATGAAGCCGTATGTGAAAGCTGTATGAAATAACTTTTGAGCACAGTAAATAAAAGGAAATTAGCATCAAAAATCCTCCTGTAATTTGTCAAAACATTTCTTACACACAGTTTACCTGATTTTGGTGGTAATGCAGATTTAAAAGCTATCCATCATAAATGTCTAGGCTTGATTTATGCATGCTAGCAGTTTACTATGAAATAGTCTGGTAAAGAAAGTCTTGTGTTAGATATACATTAAAATAAACAGGAATAGTTTAATTTTTCTAGAACTAAATGGATCCGAAGATGCCTTATAACCAAGCCAGTTCAATAGGCTATTTACCATAATGCTGTCTTCTATAACTCTCCTTGAGGTGTCTCAACCTTGTGCCTGGAGATCCTTTAAATCAAAGAAGATGCTGTGCTTTTAAAATGGGAACTTATCATGCAAAGTGAACTATTCCCACTTCCATGCACCAGAATAAAGTAGTTCAGCATACTAGACTTAATACAGGTATAGATCGAAGAATAGTAAGAAATATGTGCACTTATACAGTCATTTGGGAAAGTTGGATACATTCTACTCATTTTAAGGTCTATTCATTTAAAATACTTTAAAAATCTAAAGTCAAATGTCAAAATTCACAATTTGCTTTTGGCCTTTTTAAACCAAAACTTGGTTGATTGCTTCCAATCATATGCTTTTCATTATTTTATAAAACTGTAACTTGTTTCATTTTGTATACTTGCATGTAAGAAAACACCCAACACAGTGACAAGAATGAAACTTTAATCAGTTTTAAGTGGAGTTTTAACACTAAGATAAAGGGCTGTTAAACACAATAACAAACGGACATCTGATTTGTATGAGACATTAACCTGTACATGGCATTTTCTTGTTTTGTGTATCCTCAGTGCATAGCATTACACACAGAGCCACTGTTGCACAGCACAATAGTATCTGAAGAGGCTGAATCAGAATAAGGCTGCTTAACAGACAGAATTTTTAGTATATATATATATATATTTATTTATTTATATATATATATTCTATATGAAAACAGACTGAGAATTTTGAACTGGTGGAGTAAAGAGGCAGCTCTACCGAACACTGCAGTTAAAGCCTCCTTTTAGTGCACAGTTCCACCCCTTCCATCTGCATGCATGACACATTTTTAACAGTATTTTTAAAAGGTAAACGAGGCACTTTGTGGCAACCACAGGCATCGTTAACATATTGCACGTTTGCTAGGATTTAAACATGGAACTGCACACTGGCAACCTAAACTTTTATTTCATTTTTCCCTTAAAGCTGAAAACAATTGATGCTGCATGTAAACGTCCCTTCAGTTTACAATTTGTGCCACAGCAAAGAACCTTGGTGCTATTTTATACAACTGCCCTTTAACTACTGTGACAGACTATTTTAAATGGGACTACAGATGACTAGGGATGGCACAGGGCCTAACAGTAAGCTCCTGTCAAAGTGATGTCTTCAAGTAATTTCAGACATGTAAGCTGCTGCACATCCAAGAATTTAAGCACACAGTCCAGAAACTCAAGAAATTACCTAAGAAGAATGCATTTTCAAGCTAATGATGAATACTGTCATAAATAAAGTTTTAATTAGAACTCAAACGTTTCAGTCATAGTAATTCTTGCCGTGTTCTATGGGGATGGTAGCTGAAATAAAATATAGGAGAGTATGCATAATATATATATTATATATTTTATATATATATATAAAATGCCGTTTTCCTTTTCCAATGACTATACCATAAAAACGTAAGCAAGGCTTTGCAGAACCACTGACACATTCAAAATCCAAACCCTCATTCAGACCTTCACATTCCAAAGGAAGAACAACAGTGCAAAAGGCCATTCAACTATTCCAATCTGGCCCTCCCATGTTAAACAGTAGAACTGTACAAGACACTGAACACTGTCAACATCCAAATATTTTAATGCACGAACTTTTTAGTTGGCTAATGTGGCTTTCAAAATTGCTTAAACAGAAACTAGGTCCAATGTAAGTCACAGGAGAAAAGTCAAGGTGATTTAGTAGACACCTCTTCACTATCAGTTTCACCTACAGAATCATAAAACTCGATCAAACTCAGGAAGCCTAAACATTAGCTTTGAAAAGAGTTTACATAATGGATGAAAATTATGCTCCTGTGCAGCTACATGCAAGTCCCACTAAAATCAGAATGAAGTTATAGGCACGCAACTACACACAGGATTAGAAAAGAGAGCAAAATTCACCAAGTAATGTTTAAAGGAGCATGTTGCCCCTTTCTTCAGTATTCAGCCTGAATTCTGCCTTGACTGGTTACCATTTATATCCTTGCTATTAATGCTAATAAGGGGACTGAGGGTGGCACAGTGGCTTAAACTGCTGAGCTGCTGGGATGGTTGATCGAAAGGTTGAGAGTTCGAATCTGCAGACGGGGTGAGCTCCCGTGCTTTGTCCCAGCTCCTGCCAACCTTGCAGTTCGAAAGCATATAAATGCAAGTAGATAAAAAGGTACCACTTCGGTGGGAAGGTAACAGCGTCCCATGCACTTCGGTGTTTAGTCATGCCGGCCACATGACCATGGAAACTGTCTGTGGACAAACGCTGGCTCCCTTGGCTAGGAAATGGAGATAAGCACCGCCCCCAAGAGTCAGACATGACTGAACTTTAATGTCATGGGGAAACCTTTACCTTTTTTATTAATGCTAATGGACTGGGCACAATGGATTCCAAATTCACTCAAGTGGGAAAACCAATAATGAACAAGTTAACGCCAATAAACCAAAGGGGTTTTACACTATGAAATTCAAAATAGCACTTCCAAATGTTTGAAAGACAAGGGTTGGGTTTTTTTATTTTCTCTCTCTCTCTCTTTTTTTTTTTTTAGAAAAAAATATTATTCTGACATTTATCATCTACAGCTTGGGGAATGGCAATCGTAACAAATGAACAATTCTGTAAGCCCATTTCTGACAGATAGCCTCCACATTTGAATGGTTAAGTCATTGTTACTGTGTTTCACATGTAACCACATATTTTCATATCCCTTCATTTGCAGATCTTTTATGATGTTGTTGAAGGTTCATTCCTGTACCCCTAATACAGAACCACTCCCTCTAGCTGCCTTTTCTAGCACCATTATGCTTAAAAAAATAAAATGCACAAACAAGCAGTGACAGCAGCGATTCCTCAAATGTCCAGGATTTATTACTGTAGCATGCTAAAGAGGTGCATGTAAGTAAGCTGGAAATGGTATACAGTCCAGGGTCCAGCAAAAAACATTCCTTTCTGAGCTTCTCTTTCCACTCTCCTCCCCATATTACATGCATTTGAATGTAGTAAAACCCGTTACTTCTCCGAGCCAACTGCAAACTTAACTGTTGCCACAAAAGTGCAAAGAAATGGGCAGGATGTGAACCTGTGTATTAGAAAGAGCTTTACAGGAACTTCAGTTGGTGACAGAACACAAAAGGAAGATTCCTACATATGCACATCAGATCTGTCTCCACTTTTATAAAACTGGAATCAAATGGGAAAGTGCCATCTTTGTGTTTTCCTAATTGAAATTTAACTGTCCTCTTGACACAAAAAGGTATATACATAACATAGCCACGTAACCCTTTTTCAACAGGACAAGTGTCAAGCCCAACAGCTTCATAGGGCAAAATGAGATTGGTCAGGTAAGGAACTGTTCCTAGAACTGATAACTGTGACACAATGTCCTATTGCCATTTTGAAAGGTCCATAATTCAGTTTATTCAAGTTTTCTCTGTGTGGTATTTTTTCCCAAATAAAAAAAATATTCAGACTTTTGTAATCTGTGTATGCTGATCTTCATCAAAAGGTTCATTCTCTGGATCAGAGTCAGTGGTATCAGAATACCTATAATGATCAGGTTCATTATCACTAACATCTGGCGTTACTGAAGTTGAGCTGCTAGCCTCTGGGTTTGATGGCTCTTCTACGGTTTTTGTGAAAAATAGCTTCACCTGAAAAAGAGGACAACAAGAATCAGCACGTATCTACTCAGAAGGCAATGGCCAGGGTATCACCTGTCTAGTGTGAACTATTGCTAGATAGTGTTATGAATGAAACACTAAATACATATTTGATACAACTGTGTAAGATTTACAGGTAGTGCAAACTAAGAAGATTAACAATTAGATACTAGCATTATACAGAAACTTATGCAGGCATCTTTATACTTGGGGCTGTGCCTGAAAATGGTCCAGAAGCTTCAGCTGATGCAAAATAGAGCAACCAAACTGCTGATGAGGACTGCTAGTAGTAAACATTTAACACCAATCCTCTATCAGTTCCACTGGTTGCCAGTTGAAGTCCAGGCCTGCTTCAAAGTGCTTGTCCTAATGTTTAAAGCCCTAAAGGGTTAGGAGCTAACTATCTGAAAGAATGTCTCCATCCATATAAGCCTACCATGACCCTAAGACCCTCATCAGAGGTCCTGCTCTGGGAGCTGCCTTTAAAGGATGCTAAGAAGGTGGCTGTGCAGGGAAGGGCCTTCTCTAATGTGGTGCCCCATCTGTGGAACTGGCTCCCAACCATGGAACCTTCTTTGTATACATTCCGGTGCGAGGTCAAGACGTCCTTATTTTGATGGTTGATAGTATTAATTTTAAATTAATTTTAACTCTGGTTATTTTTAATGAATTTTAATATTTAATTGTTAGTTTTAAGATGTCCAATCTGTTAATGTTAATGTATGATTTTAACTGGCTGGTGTGGTGTGGATGTTTTATTGGTATCGATGTATTCGTTTAATTGAATTGTTTGTGTTGTTTCCATGCTTTGCTGTTCATTTTATTGTTAAACAGTCCAAAAAGCCATGTGGCTATTGACACTATACAAACATGCTAAATAAATATGTAAGTAAAAAAATATCTTGTACCCTGCAATAGAGGAGAAAGATAGGAAGCAGAACTTATTTGCTTAACTGGGAGACCAGCAACTTTAGGCTCTTCCTGTCCCTGAACTACTGCTATTCCAACTGGTCATTATAAATCCCTTGTATCTAAGAGCTAGTGCCTGTTTAACATTTTACTTCTCCTTCCCAGTGCTTTTTCATTTTTCTGCTGTTTCTTTTTGATTAGAAGCCTGAGAAAGAGCTTATTCCTGATCTTTTAAAAATATTCTGAGAACCTTTTTTCAGTGTAAGACAGCAATGAAACTGTCCCAAACAAACAAACAAACAAACAAAATGTGAAATTAAATAAAGACCTTTATCACAGCACCAGTATGTTTGATTTTTTTTTCTCTTCTAATTGATGTCTTTTTGATCTGGCCAGAATCTACTCTACGTAATGGATCTGGCAAACTCACTAAAACATTTTAAGTACGGAGCAATTCACAATTTAAATGTATGATTATTAACTGAAATAGTAAATGAAAGGCAAATTCCAAGCCACCTTTTCTTCTTGAAGAAGAAGAAGAAGAAAAAGAAGAGGAGGAGGAGGAGGAGGAGGAAGAATTTTCTGTAACACCCAACAGCCAAGGCACTCTGAGCAGTTTACAACAGAAAATAAAAGTACAATATAAAATACACCTTATTAAAAACATCATGAAAGCTTATCCTACAAAAATTAAAAGCAGATACAAAAGTTACAATAGCTTAAATGGGGGTGGGGTACAACAACAACTTAAGATCTCAAGCAACTAATAAGCCCCAGTAAACTAACTGAATGCCCTGTGGTAGAGGACAGTCTTTATGTGAGATGGAAGCGACAGTTAGGTTGGTGCCAGATGGGCCTCAGTGGAGAATTTATTTCATAACGGGAGGTGGAGGCACCACTGAAAGATCTGGTACCTTCTTGTTGCCACCAACCAAGCTTGCCTCAGAGGTGGCAGTCAGAGGAAGGTCCAAAATCTTGATTGTTGTGCCTGGATAGATGAAGGCTGGGAGAATTCTGTCAGGTACTGTGGTTCTGCAGAGCTTCATAGGTTAAAACCAGCACCCTGAATTGGGCTTGGAGGCATTCAGGCAACCAGTACAAGTAGACCAGAATTGGTGTTATATGCTTCAAACCAACTGGTCACTGTTATCAGTCTGACTGCCACATTTTGTACCACTTGCGGCTTCCAATCTTCAAAGGCAGCCCCTCATAGAGTGCACTGTAGTAATCTAGTTTAGAGATTAGCAGAGCATACATTACTGATAGCACACTATCTCTGTTCAGATGGGGCATAGTCAGGACATGAGCAAATCTGGTAAAAGGCACTAAGAGCCACTAAAGCCACTTGAGCTCTGACAAAATGTGATCCACTGGAAAAGGAAGTGGCAACCCACTCCAGTGTCTTTGCCATGAAAACCCCAAGGACAGTACCAAAAGGCAAAAAGATATGACGCTGGAAGATGAGCGACTCAGGTTGGAAGGTGTCCAATATGCTACTGGGGAAGAGCAGAGGGCTAGTACTAGTACTGCCAGAAAGAATGAAGCAAATGGGTCAAAGTCGAAAGGACACTCAGTTGCAGATGTATCTGGTGGTGAAAGGAGAGTCCAATGCAGTAAAGATCTATCTTCCATAGGAACCTGGAATGTAAGATCCATGAATCAAGGCAAGCTGGACATAGTCAAACAAGAGACAAGACTGAACATTGACATCTTAGGAATCCGTGAGCTAAAATGGACAGGAATGGGTGAATTTAATTCAGATGACCATCAGGTATACTACTGCGGGCAAGAATCCCTCAGAAGAAATGGAGTAGCCTTCTTAGTCAATAAAAGAGTATGAAAAGCAGTGCTGGGATACAATCTCCAAAATGACAGAATGATCTCAGTTTGAATCCAAGGTAAACCATTCAACATCACAGTAGTCCAAGTCTATGCCCCAACCACTGGTGCTGAAGAGGCTGAAGTTGACCGGTTCTATGAAGGCCTGCAACACCTTCTAGAATTAACACCCAAAAATGATGTCCTTATCATCATGGGGGATTGGAATGCTAAAGTAGGGAGCCAAAAGATAACCGGAATAAAAGGCAAGTTTGGCATTGGAGTACAAAATGAAGCAGGGCACAGGCAAACACATGGACATCACCTGATGGACAACACAGAAAAAAGATTGACTATGTGCTCTGTAGCCAAAGATGGAGAAGCTCTATACAGTCAGTAAAAACTAGACCAGGAGCTGACTGTGGCTCAGATCATGACCTTCTTGTTGCAAAATTTAGGCTTAAATTGAAGAAAGTAGGGAAAAGCACTAGGCCACTCAGGTATGACCTAAATCATATCCCTGATGAATATACAGTAGAGGTGACAAATAGATTTAAGGAATTAGATCTGATAGACAGAGTGCCTGAAGAACTATGGATGGAGGTTCGCAACATTGCACAAGAGGTAGCAACTAAAACCATCCCAAAGAAAAAGAAATGCAAGAAAGCAAAATGGCTGTCTGAGGAAGCTTTACAAATAGCTGAGGAAAGAAAAGAAAGGAAAGGCAAGGGAGAAAGGGAAAAATACACCCAATTGAATGCAGAATTCCAGAGAATAGCTAGAAGAGATAAAAATGTCTTCTTAAGTGAACAGTGCAAAGAAATAGAAGAAAACAATAGAATAGGGAGGACCAGAGATCTCTTCAAGAAAATTGGAGATATGCAGGGAACATTTCATGCAAAGATGGGCATGATAAAGGACCAAAATGGCAGGGACCTAACAGAAGCAGAAGAGATTAAGGTGGCAAGACTACACAGAAGAACTATACAAGAAAGAGCTTAACGTCCCTGATAACAACGATGGGGTGGTCACTGACCTCGAGCCGGGCATCCTGGAATGTGAAGTCAAATGGGCCTTAGGAAGTCTGAGCAACAACAAAGCTAGTGGAGGTGACAGCATTCCAGCTGAGCTATTCAAAATTCTAAAAGACGATGCAGTAAAAGTGCTACACTCAATATGCCAGCAAATTTGGAAAACTCAATAGTGGCCACAGGATTGGAAAAGGTCAGTTTACATTTTGATCCCAAAGAAGGGCAACGCCAAAGAATGTTCAAACTACCGCACCACTGCACTCATTTCACAAGCTAGCAAAGTTATGCTCAAAATCCTACAAGCTAGGCTCCAGCAGTATGTGGACCAAGAACTACCAGAAGTACAGGCAGGGTTTTGAAGAGGCAGAGGAACTAGAGCTCAAATTGCCAACATACGCTGGATCATGGAGAAAGCTAGGGAGTTCCAGAAAAACATCTACTTCTGCTTCATTGACCATGCTAAAGCCTTTGATTGTGTGGATCACAACCAATCATGGCAAGTTCTTAAAGAGATGGGAGTACCTGACCATCTTATTTGTCTCTTGAGAAACCTGTATGCGGGTCAAGAAGCAACAGTGAAAACTGGACATGGAACCACTGATTGGTTCAAAATTGAGAAAGGCGTTTGGCAGGGTTGTATACAGTCGCCCTGCCTATTTAACTTATATGCAGAGCACATCATGAGAAAGGTGGGGCTAGATGAATCACAAGTTGGAATTAAGATTGCCGGGAGAAATATCAACAACCTCAGATATGCAGATAATACCAGTCCAATGGCAGAAAGTCAAGAGGAACTAAAGAGCCTCTTGATGCGGGTGAAAGAGGAGAGCACAAAAGTTGGCTTGAAACTCAACATTAAGAAAACTAAGATCATGGCATCTGGTCCTCTCACTTCCTGGCAAATAGATAGGGAAGAAATGGAGGTAGTGACAGGTTTTATTTTCCTGGGCTCCAAGATCACTGCAGACAGGGGACTGCAGCCAAGAAATTAAAAGACGCTTGCTCCTGGGGAGGAAAACTATGGCAAATCTAGACAGCATACTAAAAAGCAGAGTCATCACGCTGCCAACAAAAGTGTGTATAGTCAAGGCTATGGTTTTCCCAGTTGCAATGTATGGCTGTGAAAGTTGGACCATAAGGAAGGCTGAGCGCCAAAGAATTGAGGCCTTTGAACTGTGGTGCTGGAGGAGACTCCTGCGCGTCTCTTGGACTTCAAGGCAATCAAACCAGTCAGTCCTAGAGGAAATCAACCCTGACTGCTCTTTAGAAGGCCAGATAGTGAAGATGAAACTCAAATACTTTGGCCACCTAATGAGAAGGAAGGACTCCCTGGAGAAGAGCCTAATGCTGGGAACAATAGATGGCAAAAGAAGAAGGGGACGGCAGAGAATGAGGTGACTAGATGGAGTCACTGAAGCAGTTGGCATGAAATTAAGTGGACTCCAGGGGATGGTGGAGAACAGGAAGGCCTGGAGGAATGCTGTCCATGGGGTCGCGATGGGTCAGACATGACTTTGCGACTAAAAACAACAACAAAACATCTTCTCATTATTTTTGGTTATGGAATTTCATCCCTGGCTTGTCAAGCATTTAACCTTGAGGAATGTGATAAATAACTCCTAATTTACTATGCATATATAGTGTAGTAGTCAAATTGAGGCTTGCAAGCCACATGCGGCTCCTCTTAAGAGTTTATTTTGCACCTCGCAGAGGGGCTGAAATGCGTCAAGGAACAATTCTGCCTGGTATCAACGAAAAACGAACTAATAGGAGCACCTTCCACTGAAGACACCATACTATCCAATGCACTGTTCTTCTCTAGTATGCAACCAGCCAGGGGGGTCTCTGTGATTGGCCAATCAGGGCACTAGCCTGGGCCAATGGAAGCGAAGTGCATGCACAGGAGAGGCAAAATTTCAAGTCTGGTTTACAGCCATAATGGAATGTGCTGCTACCGTGACAAGGGCTTTGCTTGCTTTCATGTTTGCAGAGGCCATTTATAGAAATGGTTCAGACCAAGGTGGATTGTGGTGGGACTGGCAGACCCTATTGGAAAGGCAAGGGTTTGCTTCTTAGGTGGCCTGTGTTTCAAAATAGCCAGGGGATTCCACAGAGGTGGTTTGGATACTGTGATTCGGCTGCAGCCTACCTCAGAGGATTGTTATGAAGTTAAAATGGTGGTTCACTGTCCTGAGCTATTTTTTTTTAAAGGGCAACACAATTGCAACCTATAATTAGTAAAAAGCCTCTTCTTACTAGGAAAACTTTTGTGTCGTATCTTATCTGCAATATGTCACTTGTAAGCAATGTCTGTTTGGTCATAACAAATAAAAATAACTAAATAAATATTTGTTCATGCCTTGTGGCTCTCAAACATCTGACATACGCCAAACATGGCTCTTCTGTTGAGCTAGTTTGGCCATGCTTCTAATATAGCATACTTCAAATTACGGCACTTAGTTCAAATTCCATTATTAGAAGCCTTTGATGCTTACCTTAAAGTTTGGAGAAAAGTAACGATTTGCCTTGTCTTTATTTGCCTTGTCCAAATCATTTTTTGTTAGTGTAAGTATTAGATATTCCTTGTCATTATCTGAACGCTCTGTACTGAAAATTCCATCAAGTTCCTGATCTCCAAGAAGACTTCCATTTTCTACTTTGTCAGAATTTTCTTCCAGTCCTGGTATGAAGAATGTATTTACCCAGAAATGAAACATTTTGTCCTAAAGAGAAAAAAGAAACTTGATTTAACATACCAAGGAAAATACTGCTAATCTAGTAAAAGTGTGCTGGTATAAAGTTGTAGAGAGTTTAAAAAAAAAGCTGATGTGAAGTGTTTTACAGTGGAGAAAGCTCTGTGCCCCCTGCCCCCCACCAACCCATATTAATATCTGATTTGCATTTCATGAAAAACCACTGTAGGGGAATTGCTCCATTGGACTTTTTGTTGTAGCAGCAGCTACCACTCTGAATGCTTGAGCTGTAGTGGGAGTGAGCTGTAGTGGGAGTGCACTGTTGCTTGTTGTTACATGAGAAATGTGCTCCTGCTGCAATAGGAATATTTAAAACAGTAAGGACCACAGCAATGAGAAGCCCCATTAGGAAGCTCCCCCATTATGGCTTCTTGCCTTGGTTTTGTTACCCAAGTAAACATTTTTAAGAGCTTGCATTTTTAATCCTTCCCTCTTGTTCTTATACATTTCAGTCTTAGGACGAATGGTGGTAGCTTCCTAATTGACACAAAACCAGGAAACCAGGCACTAGGTGAAGGCCTGCTCTGAAAAAGAAGTTGCTTTTAAAATGACTAAAGGGTTCACAAATAAGTATTTGTAAATGGAAAGCAGGATGAGAAGAAACCTGAACCCAATCTGAGAAGGATATGTGTGTTTACATGCACACACAACAAATGCTGCAAATGTGGTTCCAATGCACTCCTCAGAGTTTATACATAACCTTTATATACCCAAATATATCTACCTGAAAAGCATGAAATGAACTAACTCAATTTTAACTGGACCAAGGAGCTAAACTACTCATTATCCAAGGCCTGGAATTTACAAACTTCAGCAGCATCTCTAGGGACAATCCTAATGGTTAGAAATCAACCAAGTATCACCAGTTTGTAAAAGTACAATTAAAACAGTCATAGTTTTTTATTCCTTAATCTACCACAACTTGAAACTACAGCTTCCATTGCTTAAACTAAAATTCATCTTAATGGGGATAGCTAAATTCTTACTGCTACAAGACAGACCCTGCCAATAAATGTTTTGCCATTTTAGACCTCTGCACCATTCTGGATTTGCTAGTTTTCTGTAAGAAATTATGTTTTGGAAGATAAATGCAGAAGGTTACCAGTTTAAAGAAACACTGTTTTTTAAAGAGTAACCTTGAAATGAAGTTATATTAATTATAAACTAGATAAAGAATGGACAAAATGAAGATAGTTTAAAGTGAAGCCTGAGCAAGTGTCCCCTCATATGTTACAGAGAAAGCTAATTCATTTCCTTTAATAAGATGATAAAATACTTATTCCAATAAGCCAGATATTTCATGATCCTACACTGAAAGGATTACAGAAGTGAAATGCTTTTCCACTTTTAAATTTACTTTTCTTGGTCTTGCTAAAAGAAGCATGCACTTAACTTAGCACTGTTAAATGAAATGCAGCTATAAGATATATTTATAAGATTTTTCATTTTTATTTAGAATGCAGAAAATGGTAATTATTTCTGAAGACAATCAACTTATTTTCCTAACTAGCAGACTATAACGTTTCAAAGCAGCCTGCTTCTCTAAACAGGAAATCCTACAGCCAGTAGGGGGCCTACTTTACTCATTCCCCCACTGCAGTAGATTTCATCAGGGAAGAACAAAGGATGATACAAAAATAAAGTAAAAGAGCACAAACTGAAAAGCTTTCTAAAACTGACCCAATAATAGAAGGCTTAATAAGTGCACTGTTTACTGCTCAAGATAGGGCATTTCATTGCCTTCCTCTTTCACAGGATGTATGCTTAGGTGATTTTCTACTACCATATCAAATAGGAGTTTAGGCCTACTTTTGGTAGTGAAGTTACATCAGTTGCATCAGGGGTTAGGTTTTGCTGAGAAAGACATGAGGGGAGCACAATTTGCTTTTATCCAGAGTGGATAAAAATCAAAGATTAAAAAAAGGATTTTAAAAATTTAAATTGTTTATTAAAATTTGATTGAAAATAAAATGTTTTAAGGGAAAAATCTATCTAAAGATAGTTTTATTTAAGATAATTATAGTCCAAAGGCTATTCATAATGAAATAAAGATTAGTTTTTAATTATGTAGCATGAGGCTGTATATTCATGCAATGTTTAAATTTTTTGGTAAATGAATTCTATTAATCCATTCACAATGTTATGCTCTTCCAGAGGTTTCTGTAAGATCATTGGGCAATTTTTCTATCCAAAAGATGTTACCACAGATGCTTGGTTTTACAGTTCTCAAAACTGTGAATGTGTGTCTGCAGAGATCCCATAAATAGAAGCTTGTTGGGAGTGGAATAGATCTGCACAAGAAATTAACTGTGAGGAGGGAGGGGCAAACAGTAAAACTGAAAGTGAAACTTTTTGAGCACAATGCTCCACAAGTCTTTGGATCTTTTTGTATTTAGCCTGAGGTTTATCATAGTATTCCTTCCCTGGAAGAGAAAACCTATAATCACAGCAGGCCATTAAAAAGACCCAGTTTAGGAATATTTTAATGAAGTCCCTCTACCTATTGGTAAGGCAAGCCTGTGTGCATATTACGTAGAAAAGCATGATTTAGTCTTACTGACTAGTGATTTAAATCATTCCATAAATTGATTTAAATCAAATCCACCCTGCTTTTACTTAACTCTTTCACTATCAATCAGTAGTACAGGAACAATTAGTTTTTCATGGGAAAATTGTGGTACAATGCTGGTGCATAGATTTTCTTGAAGACAACCCCACTGTTCAGAATCTACAGGTTGTCATACCTACAGGTGCTGTGATGGGAGCAGGAGGGAGACTTTCAAAATGTCTACAACTTTCTCGATAAAATGGACAGTATCTCTCACAGCTATGACTCAAATAACACCAACTTAATGCAATTAACTATTTGATCTAGTTTAATACTGGCAAGAACAGTTGCCAAGCTGCTAAATAAACACTGCAAAAGCATGTATTCCCTCCCCTTGCATCTTACTGTTCTTATCCATCCAAATTTAAACTTAAGTTATACAGTATAAATGCATGGTTAGTCTGCATCATAAATGGTTGCATAAATAAGTTTGGTCATTTTGAATGCTCCCACTGTAGCACCCCTGGACACAGTAGTATGTGAATTCCAAACCATGACAACAGGCAAAAGCCCTAATACTGTAATCCAATTTTACCTGCAGACCACCAATCTTACCAATTGCTCCTCAAATGCATGGCATCCTTCTGCAGAGAGAATCCGGAGCTGGTTGTGAACAATACTGCATTTCAATGGTTCTGCTCATAACTAAAGTACCACATCTTGCAAATGATGCTGGAAAATTTTGGTTCAACCTGATATTCATTGCCTCCTATACTGCATTCTATTCTACATGAAACTGCTGCTCAAGGTCATCTAGGGATTTAGAGTTTGTTGTCATTAATACAAAAATCACTTGCACCTCTATTTCTTTTTCATCTTACCCAGCTGAGTTCACAAAACTGCAGGATCAGTGTCTGACTATCTTAATAGACTGAATAAGGGCTAACAAACTGAAGCTCAGTCTAGTCAACACAGTAGTAGGTGTCTCTGTCTAGATGAATGGTATGGATTCTGTTCTGAATGGGACTGAAACCCCCAAAGGATCATGTTTGGGACTTGAAGGTGTTTATATCCATCTTCCATTAGGCATACCATGTTTCTGTGGCACAAGGAGCCCTTTTCTAACTTAGGTTGATATCCCAGCTATGACCCTCTCTTGTTGCGGATAAATTGGTTTCAGTGGTTTATGCTCTATTAACATCCCATGTAGATTATTTCTCTGAGCTATACAAGGGACTGCTTCAGAAGACAGTAAGGATAATTCAGCAAATAAATTCAGATATGGCAGAGCATGCCTTAGCTGGGATTCAGTACCAGTGCAGCAGTACATTTTCACATGTGTTCTCTCTAGGATGGTATTGGCCCAATTCAAAGTGCTGATTTTGACTTGGAAAGTCCTAAATGACTTGACAGACACACAAAACCTGTTGCCCTCTAGCTGCTGCTGAACTCCAGTTCTTTTCAGTTCCAGCCCGTATATCAATGATAAGGGATCTCCGGAAGAGCACTGCTAACAAAATGCTATAGTGTATAGATATGCATCCATCATGGGAAATCTTTGTGTTGGTGCTCTGGTCTGAGAATTTCTCTAATGATCTGTGCATATTTCAACACAAAAATTCAAACAGTTTTATAGAAAATCAGGCTTTTAGTGCAATATTAAAACCTTCCTCCATGTAAAGCAAAGGTTCCAAATTTATACAGTTGCCTCTCACATAAAATGGGATGATCTAGAAGGCAAATAGATTTAACTGGTTGAATCAGTGTGCATGCGTATGTCTCAATGAAGAACCAAACTTTTTTTTAAAAAAGGTTGAATGTCAGGCTCTATTCCAAAGACTTCTCTTCACTTTCTGCATCCATCATTCCTTCTAATGCCAACGCAACTTTTCCCATGCTTGTAAGAATGTGCCTGAAACTTCACCACCAACAAGGTGGTGGTGAAAGAAGGCGTGAGCAAACTTGGGGAACCCCAGAGGGACACACACACAATATCTTAAGGTGGGGAGAATCCTAAGAAACCTAAGAATCCTAAGAAAATCCTCAATGTTAACTCAATTGCACTAAATGTTTAATTGACAGACAGAGTAGGCAAAAAACCCTGCCATCTGAGATGAGGAGTAATGACAATGAGCAACTAGAACAGGAAGGTGTTCTCAAGGATGAAAGTTGCCCATAAACTTCAATAGAAAAATTGAATTCTTGATGTAGCTGCAACAACGTACAGCCCACAATGTAAAACCAAACCAAACCAAACCAAACCAAACCAAACCAAACCAAACCAAACCAAACCTAACAAAACAGAAAAAACCTGTTGGCTGGTTTGAAGAAAAGCATCCCACAGTGTGGTATTTTGTTGAAGGGTTCCACTAATAGGTATATATTTAAAAAAAACTTTAACTTACATACAAATATCTTTCTTTTCAATAAATTCACCTGAAAACTGGTTTGCAGTAAGTTATGACAAACAGGTTTTGAAGGAGCAGAATTGGAATAATACAATTCTAAAGCCAATTTCCAAAAGCCATTATATTGCTCTGACTTCTGTTGGGTATTGTAAGAATTAATTGACCAGTTTATACTTTGGATTTGGTACTGAGGATTTCCTGGCTTACACTGAGGGAGTTCAACATGCAAACTGAGGCCAAATTAGAATGTCACAGGTTCCATGGCAGCTAATGCTTTCAGGCAATGACTTAATAAATGCTGCAGTGGATGTTTTGGTACTGGCCTAGGGAAAACTGCTTCAGTTACATGTGTTAAGACACCACAGAAATTATCAAATCATAATCTAAAAATTATCCTCACTCTTCTATGTTTTTAAAGTAAAAAGTCAGATTTCCAGAAATAAAAGGGCCTACATGGTTTAAAAGTTCTCTGGGGTCTACTGTTTTGGATAACTTTATATGGCAAAGAAGTTTCAACTTTACAAAGCAATGCAATAATCACAGGCAGGATTAGAGTATACTCAGAGTATCAGAGTATACTCTAGTAAACCCTGTCCTATGAGTGATTTCACTTCTAGCAAGGAACCTCACACAGTGATGAGCAATTGCTCATAATATCTTCAGGATCTCCTCATTCTTTTTTCCCTCCTATACAAGATATCACTAGGCAAGAGCTCATGTGGAAAGCCTGACCACGTGTTATAAAGACTGACTGCAGTCAACTGTTATCCATCCTTAGCTGAGATCCAGCAAGTATCTTGCATGGGTGGAAGAGAATTCTGCTACTTTTCCATTCCTACAGCAGCCCCCTTTTCAGCCATGCTATAGACATAACAGCAGCAGTTCAGTGTGTTCTCATATATGTCCTATTTATATACAAAAAAGCTCAGCACTGGAGTGCAATCGTAACAAGCAGCAACTAAAGTCTCCTCTACCTCCCTGTGGTCTTCCACTTCAGCTTAATTTTACTAAGAGACATAAACTTAAATTACAGAACTTGGGAAGCCACCCAAATGCCCTTTTTATGATAAAATTAGACCCATTCATTTACAAAAGAATAGGAAAGACTCAGAAGCAAGAAATAAGGCTACTAGTGTTGTATCTACTTTGGGCCTCAGACCTGAAAACTATGAAGATTTCTGGATTCACTGCAGTATCTGGAAGTTTACATAGCTGCAGCAAATGGTAGCATTTTTCAGTAAGTTTTTAATCATTAGAAAGTTGCAGTCCTTGTTACCACCACTGATATTTTTAAGTTGTTAACAATATAGCAATTTATTGTTTTTGCCTAAAGACTGTTTAGTAGCATCAGATATTGCAAAGTATGGCGGTCCACTTTAGTTGAAATAGTTGAAAATAAAGTAGAACTTTTACCACTGCACTGATCTCCTAGAGGAGTTCAGACAGAACAGAAACCAGTAAGTGGTACATTCACATTTCTCCCTTTCACACAAAACCTTGAAGTGATGACAGAGGAAGAATTAATAACTTATAGCTCCTTATCACTTTCACAGCATGTCCAAAGCCACCCATAGTAGAAAGAAGACTGAATTGAAGAGGAGATGAATCTATTTAGAGCTGGAAAAGAATAACAACAGTATTTTCAGATGTAAAAAACAGACCTTTTTCAACATCTTGTTTTGCTTATGAAAGAATTCCACCTTGATATCACCACACACTGGTAACGGCTGCGGAAATTCAAAGTACATGTATTTGTCTTCACGTCTTGTGGGTCCTGAAGGGGAGGTGTATATCTTTACCTTAAGCTGGTAGACTACAAACTGAGGATCTGTAAAACAGCAATTTTACAAAATGCAGTTTAAGACATAGTTGAGAAGAGAACTTGCTTAGAAACCAACTTTCCTGCCTGCTTCCTTCACCACATGCCACCTGCAGCAGACCAGCATGGGGGCTAGGAGCACCCTTCCCCCACGTTGTCCACCTTGAGCTCAGTTGGTGCTGCCACTTGTGAGAGATGCTACCACAGAAACGGGGAAAGGGAAAGACAGGTGAACAGCAGCTGGCTAGAAGCAGGGAGCCATGCTGAACCAGGCCCACCCGCTGGGCTCTCTTTTCTTGTGAATGCTGCTAAAGGCAGTGGCCTTGGGTGGAAGCTGAAGGGTGGATGCCAAAGGACACCGCCTGTCTGTGACTGTTTGACACCGTTTGGTGCCCTCTAGGGCCACCTGGTTCTAGCCATGGTGCAGAGGAGATGCCGAGCTAGACCACACTGGCTGTGCCTATTTGGCCAGCTGTACTTGTTTGAGCATTGAGCTTTGTGTTGGGGGGGGGGGGGTTATAGTTGCATTTTATTACTGCTTTATACCACATATTATATTATTGTATTCAGTATCCTAGTTTTGATTTTATCATTGCTTTTGTAGTTATTATATTTTGTATTTTTGCTTTTATTATATTCTATTGTTTTGTATTGAATTTGTATTATTTGTTTTATTTTAAACCACCCAGAGAGCCCTATGGGCTATGGGGTGGCATACAAAGGTGGTGGTGGTGATTATTATTAAAGTCTTTTGTCATTATTATCCAGTATGCATTAAGTTAAGCTAAGATATGCTAACACACCTTAGAGATGGCAAGACTTATTGGAGAAGACAATCATGTTAGGGAAAGTGAGTTGAACTGAATCTATAAAGGAAGACACAGCCTTGAACTTGGAAGAGCTGAAAGGAGCTGACATGGACAGGACATTTTGGGAGGGCTTTCCATAGGTCAAAGATGACTTGATGGTACATAACAACAACAAATGCTAACAATCCTTGTAATTTCTGAATTAAGTCAGTCCTCAATATGGAAATTCTCAATACAGAACGTATCAATTCAGCAATTCTTCACAGCATGAAAAAGCTCATATAATGCATATCAACCTGCACAGGTATGACTTGACAATTGAATCAGTCTTATTAGCTAGGACTCTGCCAAACCTACTATGGTACAGAACATTTACTGAAATTGCATATTTAGCATAATGCATACTGTTGCAGGTAGGAATATTTTTTATAGATGACCATGTATACCATTTTTCCTGCATTGTCTTCTCTGAAGTTTCTAGCTAATTACAAATATTATCATATGACATCAAAGATGTAAGTGACCAGGAAGTACAGTTGTTAGCAATACTACCTTGATGGTTTGAACTAATATCAGGTACAAAAGAATTCATCTTTTCTGAGACCTGTCTATGGACTTGGAAAATAACAATCTAGAAACCCAAACACACTTGTTTGACAAAGATGGAAATCTTACCCAGACCTATCTAGGAAAAAGCTCCACTAAACACATGGGGCTTAATACTGAGAAGAGTAAACATACATAGGATTAGATTGTGCATCTTATACTTAACACAGGATGGAAATTTCATTATTTGTTTTCATACATAAATTATACTAAAGGACAAAAGCCACTGTACAAAAGCTAACAGTAAATCTTTTAGGAGAACCTCTCAACGTTTGAGCCTATTTCCTCACTAAAAAGAAAAAAAGATAAAAGTCAACCATCACATAAATGCAAACTCCAACAGACATGGCTAAACAGCTATATTGACATGGTTATGAAACAAAGACATTTAAAATAAAACACCTATTCCCCCAACTATACATAAAAAGGTTAAAATATTTTCCTCCATCAGTCACTACTGCAAAGTGACACATCCTATCAAAGCCTGTCTAGAAAAAAGATTGCGCTTCATGTGCATGTATGGCATGAAACAGATCTAATTAAAGAAAGTGACTTAGTCCACATATAATTCTAGTCCATAATTTATTCGACCTCTCGTTAACCCCTGGCTTATTGTCAACCCTTTTGGGGGAGGGGCAGATAGAACTAATCATGTCCTGTTCCTGCCCCACCCCCGCCCCCCGAATCTGTGTATTCCTTATTTTCTTCCTTTGTTCACTCACTCCTTGTAACCCAAATGTCTTTATGGCACTGAAGTACTGGCATGTAGAACAGCTAGTTTTTTTGCTTTGCTTTTACCACTATTGGCACCATTGTCTGTAGACTGACAAAAAAGTACACATACAACCCATGACTCTAGGCACATTGCAACCAATCATATTTTAAACAACCTGAATTTCACAACTCAACAACAAAACATGGGCCCTTTGTCTGAGTTGTTGTGGTCAAAGATTTGTTAGTGTGGCTGAGCATGTGCTTCATGACAACGTAGAACTCAACAACCCATGGGTTAAATAAATCATGGTTAGCACTGTTAGTAAACCAGGCCAGTGACCCTGAGCATAAAAGCAACTATTTGCATGAATTAATATGTTTAGGTGTATCTATGTAGGACAAACTGCCTATCCAACTAAGAAAAATAGTAAGTTCTGCCAATACAATAATATAAATATTATTATTGGATAAGTCCAGTACTTATCCAATAATAAGTCCAGTACTATCTAGCTCAGTTCTGGTCAACCCAGTGATAATTTGTAGGTACAGTGCACACATTACAGCCAAGACACACAGGTCCCGTGCCATATTCTGCAGGGGCAATGGGAAAATATTACTACAAATATGGGCTTTGGGGAGAAGTTGAAGAATTAAGGTTAGGCTTAAAAAATGTTAATTACCACTGTAATCCAGCAAGGTAGCTAGAACCACAGCAAAGTGATACAGCATCTGCTTGCATGCAGGAGATCCCAAGTTAACTGCCTGGTCCTCCAATTTAAGAGGATTTTGGATAAAACATTTTGAGAAAAAACTCTGTTTCAAACCTTGGAAAACTGCAACCAGAGCAGAATATACTGCTTTAGATGGAACAGTGATTTGACAGTATACAACAGGTTCGAAGAAGAATCTGTATTAGTCTTAGTATCAGACTAAAATAGGGGAGACTTGAGATTCAAAGCAGTTATGATGCTTCCAGTTGTAGGTTCAAGGAATGGTGAATAAACAGAAATATATGCAACACAGTCTCATATCGAAGAAGAGTTTAAAAAGGTACTTACTGCAAGTGCCACCACTGAACATTGGAATCGTTTCAAACATCATTTTGTGGAAGAGCAATGCCACGGGTCTGTAATCCAGATGATTCTTTAAAAGGTAGCTATAATAATATACATAGCGCCTCTGACTGGGAATAGTTACTCCCTAAATAAAACAAAGAAAGCTTGAGCTAGAAAAGCGATAATGTGTAACATTTTCAGTTTACTTGAATTGACTCTGATTAATTAAATTCTAAAATGCAATCACAATAACAACTGCATACAGGTAAATCTTTCTATCTTCTACATATTTATGGCAACTTCAGACACCTAATGCAAATCTTCTGGATTTGGTAAACAACCAAAGAAAACTCTTTGGTACACAGGCAAAGTAACTTACCAACCCTTTGGAAAGCAACCAAAGTAAAACCCAAGCAAAAGTCAGGCTTTTCTTTTTGCCTCAGAAGGCTTTACCTTGCCGCACCCTGTATGCATTACTTGTTTTTTCTACTAATGCGACCTCATCAAAATGGAGAGGGAGACTAAAGCAAAGCTGCTAGCATACTCTGAAGCAATAGTAAATGCACATCTTCTGGAACTGTCCACATGTGATAACCTACAAGAGGACAGCACCAGGAGAGTGCAAAAGGCATTCAAATATGGATGTTATTCCATTCCATGTTATTCCATTCCATGGTTAAGAAACAAAAATGGCATTCTAGAAAGGGCTTTGCATATCAATATTTTTCTGTCGGTATGAAATAATATGAAATGTGGCTTTTTCTCAGCTTCATAACAAGGATACTTTGAAGTCATGATTAAGGCATCCTTTATGCACCCTGTTTAATGTCATAAAAATGTCCAAACTAGCTATTAACTAATTTATGAATACATTCCCCTGTACTTTCAGCCATTTTTACCTCATTTTAAAATCTATTTACTTATATATTTCCGTACAATACATGATTCTGCATACTAAAATGGTTGGACCTTATGGCTGGCTGAGTGTCACCCTGGTCCAGTCTTCCATTGCAATAAAACAAGATGCCATTAAATATCTTTAGAAGCAGAAGCATAATTTTTAAAAAAGCAGGAATCAGGAAAAAATAAAGTTGGTAAAGTATGTTATAAATTTTAATTGGAAGGTGTTCTTCTGCATGGAAAGCACCCATTATGGATCAAATACAACATTAATTCCTTCTACTAGAGTATCTATGGTTTTTCCCTTCTTTTATGTTGTATAAAATACTAATATGGAAGACATGCAGAGTTCCTGAATGTTCCATGTGGTGCTCTGAGAACAATCTGAATGTTCTAGATGTACCTAAGGTTTATAATGGGAATTAGGGCTTGGTGAATTTTAGCACAGGGGTGGTCAACTGTGGCCCTCTAGATGTTCTGGGCTACAACTCCCATCCTCTTATTCTAAGCCAAAACATCTGCAGGGTAACATGTTGATCTTGCCAGACATGTTCTTCTTCAGTCAGTATGCACCAATCATTTTAAACATCTAGAGCACAATAACATAGATTAGGCTTTGCAATATGGCCTAAACGTTTTCGGTATATGAAAACTGGGAATCATACTCTCTAATATTGTTTTCTATCTTTGTTGAATGTTGTAACACATTTGCTATGAGCAGCTTCAAAACAAAATTTGTGACTACAAAAACCAATATGGAAGCAAACATATGGAAGCAAACAATATGGAAGCAACAGTTTAGCATGGAATAAATATATAAAATAATCTTGAGTCAGCAGCTAACATCAACACACTAAACTGTTCAAAATCACTTCTGCAAAACTGCAGGCAGAGAACAAAACCACATAGCATTTTTAATCTCACTTATTTAATGCCACATTCTCCTGGGATTATAAGATTGCTCTTTTCATAAATCTAGTTACCCCCCTAGTTAACAACTCAGAGATAGAAGAAAACATGGCTAACTGTATAATGTTAGTACAACTGGGAGAAAAATAATACCAACCATGACTGCTCTGCATTTCTCAAGAACAGGGTTAGTTTTTGCATTTCCTTAGTAGCTATACAAAGGTGAGCTCACATCTAAAGTATAATTATTGTTGTTATTTAGGAAAGTAGTACCCGACCCATCGCTACCCCATGGACAACATTCCTCCATGCTCTCCTGCCCTCCACCATCCCCCGGAGTCCACCTAAGCTCACACCAACTGCTTCATTGACTCCATCTAGTCACCTCATTCTCTGTCGTCCCCTTCTTCTTTTGCCATCTATTGTTCCCAGCATTAGGCTCTTCTCCAGTGACTCCTTCCTTCTCATTAGATGGCCAAAGTATTTAAGTTTCATCTTCAGTATCTGGCCTTCTCTAAAGAGCAGTCAGGGTTGATCTCCTCTAAGATTGACTGGTTTGATCTCCTTGCAGTCCAAGGAACTATCACGAGTCTTCTCCAGCACCATAATTCAAAGGCCTCCATTCTTCAGCGCTCAGCCTTCCTTATGGTTCAGCTTTCACAGCCATACATTGCAACTGGGAAAACCATAGCTTTAACTATACGTACTTTTGTCGACAGCATGATGTCTCTGCTTTTTAGCATGCTGTCTAGATTTGCCATATCTTTCCTCCCCAGGAGCAAGCATCAATTTTCACCATCTGTGGTGATCTTGGAGTCCAGGAAAATAAAATCTGTCACTACCTCCATTTCTTCCCCATCTATTTGCCAGGAAATGATAGGACCGGATGCCATGATCTTAGTTTTCTTAATGTTGAGTTCCAAGCCAACGTTTGTGCTCTCCTCTTTCACCCGCATCAAGAGGCTCTTTAGTTCCTCTTCACTTTCTGCCATTGGAGTGGTATTATCTGCATATCTGAACTTGTTGATATTTCTCCTGGCAATCTTAATTCCAACTTGTGATTCATCTAGCCCCACCTTTCTCATGATGTGCTCTGCATGTAAGTTAAACAGGCAGGGTGACAGTATATAACCCCGCCAAACTCCTTTCTCAATTTTGAGCCAATCAGTGGTTCCATGTCCAGTTCTCACTGTTGCTTCTTGACTCGCATACAGGTTTCTCAAGAGACAAATAAGATGGTCAGGTACTCCCATCTCTTTAAGAACTTGCCACAATTGGTTGTGATCCACACAATCAAAGGTTTTAGCATGGTCAATGAAGCAGAAGTAGATGTTTTTCTGGAACTCCCTAGCTTTCTCCATGATCCAGCGTATGTTGGCAATTTGAGCTCTAGTTCCTCTGCCTCTTTAAAACCCTGCCTGTACTTCTGGTAGTTCTTGGTCCACATACTGCTGGAGCCTAGCTTGTAGGATTTTGAGTGTAACTTTGCTAGCATGTGAAATGAGTGCAATGGTGCAGTATTTCGAACATTCTTTGGCATTGCCCTTCTTTGGAATTGGAAAAAAAGGATACTAGTTGCTGAGAGAATATGGAAACAAGCCAGTGTGGATTAAAAACAGAATCTGGAAAAACAAAATTTTACTTCTGAAATGCCATTGGTAAGAAGAACTGGCAGATATGCCTGGTCAAGATTGGAGCTATCAAAGTTAAGGAAAAAGCCCTTTCATGCAATAGCAATTTCTAGCTGTGTTGACTATAGGCTCCAAAGTCTGCCCCCAACAGATGTGGACAATTTTCAGTATTCTAATCTGCTTTATGATAAAGAACTTGACAAGAATGCCAAAAAGTTTTCCTATAACACAGAATCAATAATATGCTGATCAGAGTTCAACATTGTACCAGATGCACTTTTACAGAAGACCAAGATGATTCACTCTTGCTCAATGAGAAAAAATATTGGTTAAGAAATTAAGACAGACAATGCTTTGCACTTGTATATGCACAAAATTTTTGTGTGTGGAGATTTCCTAGAATTGTGGCTGAAAGGTTTCTTAGCATTCGTAAGGCCTTCCATAACCCTCATCATGAGGCAGGAAAGATGGAGAAATAGGAAACTGGGTCATGCTCATTCTTGTGCCAACAAATAGGTCATAAAATGCTTCTCTGCAGTAGTGGCATACCAAAATTTTTAGGGTTCAGAGCTACAAACTACAAGTGGGAAGGTTGAGGGTGCCTAACCCTAACCCTCCACAAATATCATACTTGTGAAGGCCAACCAGCATACTAATGGAATTTTTTTTAGAAATTAATCAACTGCTCTACCTTAGAAATGATGAGGGGAACAGTACAGACAGGAGCCTCTTTAGCACAGGAGCAAACAATCAATTTTGCCCTTCTGAGGAAGACCAAGCCAAGACTGAGAGGAGTTCCTCCCTTTTTGGGTGGCAAGAAGTCTATCTGATTGGCCCTACCTGCCTCTCACAGAAGCAGAAGATAATTCCTGGCTGCTTGCTCCACTTCATCAGTACCCAAGAACATACTTTTTCAGATGTATGAACTGAAGATTACCACTCTCTCTGACAATGTAAAGTACTGGCTAAAAAACCTCTGTTCTGTTCAGTTGGGACAGGTTGTACCCATCCTCAAAATACAAAGAGATTAATTGCTAGATTTTCAGATGCTCTGATGGCCAATAGGTTTAAAGCATCCATTTCTTTTATTTCTTCAGACTAAACTCCAGATGGAACTTGAAATTAGAATGTCTTACTGTTCACTCTCAATTAGAAGAGGGGTTACAGTAGCATTTAGCTCTGCCCAAATTATAACCTTTTGAAGGCTGTCTTTGCTGTTGGGATAACTTGACTGCCACAGGACCTGAAAAGTGTAGAGGAAGGTTTTGTTGTCACTAGAAGTGTCTAAAGGCAAAATGACTCAATGCCAAAAATCTTATATGGGAAGCTCAGATGATTATCCAGAAGATGAATGATGGTAAGCTTGTAAGGAAGTTCTTGGCTTAGGTTAGTGACCCAGAGGATCAAGTGAATCCCACAGAAGTGGGGCAGAGATGTTAAGCACAACAAAGTAACCAAAATGAAAAGGTGTTGCTATATGACAACCTCAAGACATTGGCCCAATAAACAAAGGACTTCGTGGCAATTTCGACAATTTTTAGTTGTATCTTTAATGCGATGCTCTCTGAAGCAGGCAAATGACTTCAGGAATTTCACTATCCTGTTTGTGTTATTTTTAAATAAGGTTTTATCATTTTAAAGGCAGTGTAAGCCAGAATATAAAAAAGAACAATTGAACTCAACAAATGAACATCCAATCAAGAAT